ATTCCGTCTCAGTTTGGCAGATTTAATGTTGAACAAGGTATAAAACTGTAATATTACAGGTTCCCATTGTGTCATACCGTCTCAGTTTGGCAGATTGGACGTTAAAACAAGGTATAAAACTGTAATATTACAGGTTCCCATTGTGTCATCCCGTCTCAGTTTGGCAGATTGTACGTTAAACAAGGTATAAAACTGTAATATTACAGGTTTCCATTGTGTCATCCCGTCTCAGTTTGGCAGATTGTACGTTAAACAAGGTATACAACTGTAATATTACAGGTTCCCATTGTGTCATCCCGTCTCAGTTTGGCAGATTGTACGTTAAACAAGGTATACAACTGTAATATTACAGGTTCCCATTGTGTCATCCCGTCTCAGTTTGGCAGATTGTACGTTAAACAAGGTATAAAACTGTAATATTACAGGTTCCCATTGTGTTAACCCGTCTCAGTTTGGCAGATTGTACGTTAAACAAGGTATAAAACTGGCTATCACAGATACCAGTTACCACCAAATACTGGCTATCACAGATGTCAGTTACCATCCAAAGAGCAGAACTGATCAAGCTACGTTGTTAGAATCGATGAAGCTATGTTGTTACAATTTATGAAGCTATGTAGTTACAATTTATGAAGCTATGTAGTTAGAATCGATGAGGCTATGTTGTTAGAATCGATGAGGCTATGTTGTTGTACGAACGAAAACAGAAGGAATCAACATTATTACAAAATGTAAACACGTGAGTCAATAACGTGCTCCACGATATAACTGATCTTTCAGGCAATGCTGATAAATATTTTATAGTTCAAGAACTAAGATAATGTACACACACACACAAAAGAAAAAGATGGTAAATACTGATATATAAAAGAAAATTTATTTCAAAGGTAATTAAAAATATTCCATCGGTAAAAGATGTAGAAAGGATCGTAGGTAAACTTACACAAACTGAAACAGTGTAAGTGTAATAAACGTAAGTTGCAGCACTGCAGTGGGCCTGTAAGCTCGTGATCTAACGAGAATGTATTAATATGTTTTGAGGAGTATTTATTTTCCAATGTTAAAAAGCGAAAACTAAATCAATATTTGTTATTAGTTCTTACATAAACTACCAATAATTCCAGGAATGGGATTAATCTACACTGTTACACATTTATTTATCTATCAGTCTTTACGTATCGATTTGGAATTAACAGCGACTGCTTCGTACTAAGACAACGTATTACTCAAGACGTATGTGTAGCTGGGCAGTTGTGGTGCAGAGCTGATCAACAAGTCTGTTTGTAGTTAAGCATAAAGCTACACTATGGGATATCTGTGCTCAGGCCACCACGGGTATCGAAACGTTATTCATCTACAACCGGAGAAAAAGGATTTACAACAACGTTAACTTTATTCATCTACAACCGGAGAAAAAGGATTTACAACAACGTTAACGTCATTCATCTACAACAGGAGAAAAAGGATTTACAACAACGTTAACGTTATTCATCTACAACAGGAGAAAAAGGATTTACAACAACGATAACGTTATTCCTCTACAACAGGAGAAAAAGGATTTACAACAACGTTAACTTTATTCATCTACAACAGGAGAAAAGGGATTTACAACGACGTTAACGTTATTCATCTACAACAGGAGAAAAGGGATTTACAACGACGTTAACGTTATTCATCTACAACAGGAGAAAAAGGGATTTACAACGACGTTAACGTTATTCATCTACAACAGGAGAAAAAGGATTTGCAACGATAATCTATTTACATCAAAAGG